TTAGGTATATTAGCTATTTGTATTTACTTTAGAACTGTTATTTGCCCACTTTTCTATTGGAATGTTTATCTTTTCCAGTTGACATAGTGGCACATACCTGTGGTTCCAACTACTTGGAAGGCTGAGGTGAAAGGATCACCTGAGCCCTGCAGGTCAAGGCTGCGGTGGCCGTGAGTGCACCACAGCACTCCAGCCTGGGCGACAGAGTGAGACTCCGACTCAAAAAACAAAGCAAAACAAAACAACAACAACAACAAATCTCTGCTTTGCTTTACTTGCTTGTAATAAAACTCTGCCTTGCTGTCCTAAGTCTGGCATGTCCAGTTCTTTGTTCACAAATAACCAGTGAATCCTGAACCAGCATTTCCATCGACACTAGTGTCACAATAGAGAACTAGATCAATGGAATCAAATATAGAGTCCAGAAATAGCCAATGTACATGACTAACTGATGTTTGGCAAAATGCCAAGGCAATTAAATGGAGAAAGATGATCATTTCAACAAATGGTTTTGGAACATTTAAATAATCATATTTTTAAAAAGAAACAGGTTTGAGGGACACTTACTACAAACAACTTGAAAGCTTGAAATAAATAATAGACTTGAGTATAAGGCGAAGTTACAAAATTTCTAGAATAAAATATAGGAGAAAATCTTAATAAACTTGAATTATGCAAAAAGTTATTATTTTTTTAAAATTGGATTCTCACTCGGTCACCCAGGCTGGAGAGCAATGGTAAACTCAGCTATTGCAGCCTCGACCTGCCGGGGTCAGGCCATCCTTCTGCTTCAGCCTTCCAAGTAGCTGGAACTATAGGCATGCACCACCATGCCTGGCTAATTTATTTTGATTTAGTGTAGCAATGAGTTCTCGCCATGCTGCCCAGGCTGGTCTCAAACCCGTGGGCTCGGGCAATCCTCTCGCCTCTGCCTTCCAAGTGCTGGGATTACAGGCGTGAGCTACTGCTCCCGGCAAAATTTCTTATAGGAAATAGAGAAGAATGAACTACAGAATAAAAAAATTATGATAAGTTGAACTTCTTTAGCATTAAAATCTTTTTCTCTCCATAATACACTTAAGAAAATAAAATGACAAGAGAAAATGCAAAAAACTGTATCTGACAAAGATTTGATTCTATCATAAGAAAAACAAGAAGACAGAAATACTTAGTAAAAATGGGCAAATGAAGACTAGGAACAGGGGCTCACACCTGTGATCCCAGTATTTTGAGAGCCTGAGGTGGGAGGATTTCTTGAACCCAAGTGTTTGAAACCAGCACATACCTGTAGTCCCAGCTACTCGTGAGGCTGAGGTGGAAGGATTACACGAGCCCAGGAAGCCAAAGCTGCAGTGAGCTGTGATCATGCCACTGCACTCTGGGTGGCAGAATGAGACCCTGACTCACAAAAAGGGCAAAAGAATTGTCAGACATTTCACCAAAGAAAGCATATGGATAGTGAATAACCACATGGAAAGATGTTCAACATCATTTGTCATTAAGGAAATGCAAATCAACACCACAATGAGATTCTACTATGCTTCTACTAGAACCACTAAAATTGAAAAGAAGAATAATGTTTGTTGCTGATAGGAATGCAAAATTCTCTTATTTCTTAATTTAAAGATGTGGGGCACAATTCAGGATTACAATTGGTCATCATACAGGTAAAGTTTGGGTCTCCCTTTGGTTCCCACTTCACCAGTCTTGAGATCAGGCACCCTTATCGATGCTATATGCACTCTCCTCCTCTGCAGTGTCCCGCTACTGCCAATCTCTTTCTTTCTTTCTTTTTTTTTAGTCAGAGTATCACTCCATCACCCAGGCTGGAGTGCAGTGACATACTCACAGCCACCACAGCCTCCACCTGCTGGGCTCAGGCGATCCTTCCATCTCAGCCTTCCAAGTAGCCAGAACTACAGGAGTACACTACTATGCCTGGCTAATTTTTAAAAAATTTATTGTAGAGATGAGGTTTCACCATGTTGGCCAGGCTGGTCTCAAAACCACGGGCTCATACAGTCCTCTCACCTCGGTCTCCCAAAGTGCTGGGATTACAGGAGTGAGCCACCGTGCCTGGCTGCAAGCACAATTCTTGAAAATTAAACACACACTTTCCACATGACCCAACAACTTTATTCCTATGCATTTTCTTAATTCACAATTGATAAAAATTAAAAAGGATCCAACTGTCATAAAAATTATGGTATACTCATACAAATGCAATATTAATTCACACAGCACATTCTCAAAAGGATGGTGGTAAATTAAATAATTTATACACCGAAGACTAAATAGTGTGTGACTCTATTTATAGAACATTCTGGAAAAGGTGACACTTCCGGGACATGCGTTTGACTGATGTCAAGGCCTGACTATTGGGCAGTGCATTGACCACAAAGGAGCAGGAAGCGAATATTCTTCTATGGCTTGACGGTGGTGGTGTCTTCATGATTGTATGTACATGAAACTTTATCAATCACATATTTATTTACTTATTTTTATATTTATTTATTTATTCTTTTTGTGTCAGGGTCTTATTCTGTTACCTAGGCTAGAGTGAAGTGGCATGATCATGGCTCACTCCAGCCTTCCAAAGTGCTGTGATTATGGGCATGAGCCACTGTGCCAGGCTGATATTACATAATTAATACTGATAAATTTGATTGTGTATCTATCACACTTCAATAAAACTAACAAAAAAAGAAAAAACCCTTAGGGAAATGGGCTGGTGTTGGGTATGGGAGTCTTTAAACATTGCCCAAAGTGCCGAGTTTTATTCTGAAGTCACTAAAGTATTTGAAAAGATCTTTGTTTAGGGGAATGACTGGCCTGAATTGCACTTCAGGAAAGTAAATTTTATAGCAGTATGCAATATCAATTTCTGGAGAGCACAGAGTCACCTTCTTTGACCAGGCATTGTAGCTCTCTTATTCCCATTAAAGCCTGTGCTCTGGGTCATGATCCTCATCTAAAAGAGGGACGCTCAGGTACTCGCTTGGCTGGCCCTAACACTTTGGCTCTTTCTACTACATGATGCTGCTGTCCAGAGAGATCCCTTATGGATTTTGTCATGGGCTGCCCAGGAGCAACAAGGGCCTGGTGACCGATGAGGACGAGCTGCCTGGGGTAATTATGGGGTTGCAACATCATCAGTCGTAGGTGGTAAGAGGAGAGATCTTTCTGAGTAACTGGGGGGAGTATGAACACCAGTGAAATGCTGTAGGGGCACCCATCTTGCTCCCTGGCAGCTGATGCAAGTGGAGATACCCATCTGCCACCTGGAGCTGAAGACAGAGTCTGGGCTGGAGACAGGATTTGAATATAATCTGCTGGGAGATGAGCAGAACCTCCCACCCTAATTCTCTGACCACTTCTCAAGGACTAAACTTTATCCATCCCACTCTCGTTGACCCTTTCTCTTCTGATTTTGCAAAATGTGGTTCAGATCTCTACAGGATTTCTTAAAAGCAGAACTAACTTTCCAGTGATGTCACTTCTGGATCAGTGCTCACCCTGGAGGAGATTGCAGGACCTGGAATAGCTGAGTCTTGGAAGACTGCTGGATGAGTGGTTTTCTACTTTGCTGACCAGGATGTCAGCCTAGACACTTAGCAGTCAAATGGCCCTATGATCAGTTAAATAACCCTCAAAGGGCCTTCACACTCCTCCCAATATTTTCCTGTCGCTGATGGGTATTTTGGAATTCTAGGATATTCTCTCAAATTGAGACCTGTTCCCCAAACAAAATTAAAAGACACGTTTGTACGTTTTTCTGCTGGAAGCAGTCTTGCCACTGTGGGGGGGTGTGATGGTAAGACAGAGGTCTTTCCGTGGGACAGCTGACCCTTCAGTCTACTGAGCACCCTGTCTGTTAACTTTGGCTTTCAGTCATGCCCCAAGGTGAATGAGCTGGAGTGGGTGGTCAGTAGAACAATGTCCCTCCAAAGCATCGACATCCGAATGCCAAGGAACTCTGACTATGTGATTAAATTTAGGATCTTAGGGGAGCTTATCCTGATTTATCCTGGTGGGCCCACTGAAATCCTTCTAAGAGGGAAGCAGGAGGGTCAGAGTCAGAAAGAAATTGGAAGATGCTCCAACAAATACAATGTCATTCGCGTTATAAAGGAATATTTACGTCGAACAACCAGTGTGCTGAAACCTGTTGAGAAAGTTGTGCGTGCCTTAGCTACTCAGTCCTGATACTGAGTGACTACCCACCCCATATTACAGAGAGAGGCCTGGGGGACAAAGATTGTGCATACAGAGGACTTGCTGATATTTGCCAGCTGGGTGTGGACAGGGTGTTTGCTACAAATTCTTCTTCTGTTTCACATGACATTGAGTTTACTGAGAAGATTTCATGCTATGTTCATTTTGTTTCATCCATGCAAGGGTCTCCATAAACTTAGAATTTCTCCTTCCAGATACAAAATCACATTTTAATCATAGATAATAACAGATGACTGTATTGACTTTTCATACATATATTAACCCTATAATAGAACACAGAGTAATGCTCATAGTGAGGCCAAAGGAATGACTACATCCAGAGGCAAAATGGGAGAGTATACATTTTCAATAAGTCTAATACATCCTGTCCAAACCATATCATTTCTCCCTGTTTCAACCTTCAAAATTGTGTCCCTATTTCATTTTTGTTCTCAGTCCTTTATGACAGATATTGACGCCGGTGACTGGATCGTTCTACTTTTTTCAGAAGAGGTGGGTTTGACTTACAATGACAGATTCTTAATTGCCATGGTTGTAGGAACTCTGGCATAGTTGCGAACTAACTCAGTTTGATTTGATTAGCTTAACAGAATCTCTTTTGGAATTTACTTTCCAATTCTGTCGGAACACTGTAACAATGGAAAGCTTCATCTCTGGCCTAATTGCTCCATATGGATCCCTGACCTTGGGAAGGCAGCAGCGAGAGTCTCCTGGGAGGCCCTGAGGGTGCACTGGGAAGTCTCCAGCGCTACACTCAAGGAGATGGGGCTTCAGGGCATGTCTTCCTTAGACTCATGACCGGGGAATGACACAGAGTTTGTAATGTGGTGGGATGTTGCCAAACCCAATCGTCATAGGGCTGAGGTCTATGTCCTTGGGATCAACAAGAGGCTTTAAATTAAAATGCTGCAAAATGGCAGACAAGAAGAGAAACAATTCCATGCGAGCCAGGCCTTCTCCAACACACACTCGTTTTCCTAGAAGTAACAATGGCATTGATGAGACACAAGGGAGTTGCAGAGACACGACTATTAACAGTGAGACAGCAGAGAAGGAGCAGGTGGGAGGAGGCGGGACTTACCCCTCTCCACCCACTGAAAAACATCACAACCTCTGATCGTTCTTACCTGTGGAAAATGGCTTGAAATAGTCACTGTACTTGAACTTCCCATTTTCATTCAGAAAGTGTCCTGGATTAAACTTCTCTGGATCAGGGAATTCTTTTTCGTCAAACAAAAGGGAGTCCAGTGTTGGAATTACGACTGTGCCCTAGAAGAAACAAAGACTGTCAGTCAAATGAACAGAGCACGGGCTTTCACCTAGAAGCCCACAGTGAAGAAGGTCGTTTTGAATTTCGCATTATTCAGGACAGTGCATTTCTAGTTGGGGAATTTGCTTAGTTAAGGACTAGATAGAAAGTAGTCAGGGGTAAGGTCTAAACAAAGATAACAGTCCAAATCTTTTCCCAAGATTAACTCTGAGACTTGCTGTAACTGTTGTTTATTCCTGGCATTAGAATTTACGACAAATCCCAAGAACTATGCACGGAGGCACTTTTCCAGACTTCTTCCATTTCTGTGGTCACCAGGTCTGTGTCAGTACTACTGGAGAAGCAGCACTCTGGTAGGAATGCTGGTCCAGGCCTTCAATTCAGCCCCACCTGCCAAAGAGGGATTGTTGGGCCACCCCATCCTATTCCCTGACAGGTGAAGCAACGAGCTGATAGGCTGGTGTTCATGCTGTGAACTTCAGGTTCACGTCTGACCTTGGGGATGACATATCCTCTGAACGTGGTGTCTTGGACTGCTTCATGGGGCAGGTTGGAGGGCACGAGGTTGATAAACCGCTGAATCTCATGCACTACAGCATCCATGTAGGGCATCTCTAGCCTGTCCTTGATGGCAGGGATTCTGCTTGGCCCAATCACCCTGTCGATTTCTTCATGAAGTTTTTCTGCCAAGACATGAATGGGATAAATTTAAAGGATTGTCTCCAGGCTAGTTGAACATCCACCCAGCATCCACCCCCATCTATCCAATCACTTGTCCATCCACCCACCCACCCATCCACCCATCACTTGTCCATTGGTCTGTCTGTCAGTCTGTCCATCCATCCATCCATCCGTCTGTCCATCCATTTATCAGTCCGTCCGTCCATCCATCCGTCCATCCAGAAGATGTTTATGGAGCGTTCTAAGCAGTGCTTATGGTGCTCTAGGTCCTTTGAATTATTGGAAAATTCTTCACAAATGTTAGTAAGAGCTAAGCTCTGTGAGATTATTTATGGACTACAGAATGTTTTGGTATCCATTGTCTTAGCTGATGATGGCTTATCCAGTTCTTCTCTTCACGTCAGGAACAGAGAATAACAAATGGGTCTCGGAAATGTCTTTTGTAAAGGAAATCTTTGCATTAACGTTTTACCCCTGGCTGGTTTCTGGCATGCTTCTAAGAAGTATGAAGGGGGATGACAATGGAATCAAATGCAAATTGTTTACTTGAAGTCTGGAAGTCCCTCTCTTTCTGACAAAGGTCACAGTGCTCTTGGGCAAGTTGCCTAGCCTTGCTGCACTGAGATTTCCTACAGAACTTCAATTTGGCTGAGTGAAAAAACAAACTGCAAATCTTTACATACAGCATGAAACCCAGATAAAATAGGAACACATATACAATAATAATATGACTTGAATGCTGATGCTTAGTAACTGTTGAATGTTAACAGTTAACATGAACATGCATAGTGATGATGAGAGACCCAAGAGATTAAAAAAAAAACAAAAACACTCTAAGAGAACTATTACTATATGAATTCCTACCCCACGTTCACTGTATTTGTTTGCAGTGTTTGTACTTAGAATTTTGTTAAGCTTAATTTTTGTTTGTCTCATAAAATAACCAATTGCTTCCGCAACTGCGGCTAGCAGTATGTGAATGTCAAGTAATAAACCCCTCCCGGACATTCCTTTGCTTAGCCTGCCTGCTTGCTAAACCTAGCTTATCTGACATTCCACTCTGCTCATTTAGCAGCTCCCCCAATAATCACAGGTAGCTGAGCGGACCAGACCAATCCCAAGTGCCCCCGTACCCATTAGGAGAAATTAACCTATCATGTAAAAACAAGTTTAAAGTTCTTTCCCCGCCCTCTGTAATGATGTATAAAAACTGCTTGCCATGCTGGATCGGGGCTCTCGTCCCTGAAGCTGTTGCTTTGGGCGTGAGCCCAGACTCGAGCCTGAATAAAGACCCTTGTGTGTTTGCATCAGAGCTGGCTCTTTGTTGGTCTCTCAGATTCTGAAATTTGGGTTTAACAATGAGACACAGAAATACTGGAACCAGCTCTGGGGAGGAAGGGGGAAGGTGTGAGGCGGTGGGACTTTGTCTGGCATGCAATGCAATTTCTTCCTAAGAGCTCTGAAGCAAATATCATAAAATGTTAACACTTGTTAAATTTGGCAATAGATGTGTAGGTGTCAATTATATTCATTTTATTTTTGTCTATATTGGAAATTCCTCATGAATAATTTAAAACATGTTTTGAGTACATGGTTCCTTCAGTGCGGAGTGGTCAAAGTTCTCTTATAACTCCTGCAAACGCAGTGTTTCCTCCCCAACCCCTTGGCTTCTTCATCCTTCACATTCCTATGTGATTGAAAAAGGAAAGACTAGCGGGGCATGGTGGTGCATGCCTGTAGTTCCAGCTACTTGGAAGGTTGAGGTGGAAGGATCGCTGGAGCCCAGCAGGTGGAGGCTGCGGTGGCCATGAGTGTGCCACTGCACTCCAGTCTGGGTGACAGAGTGAGACTCCAATTCAAAAATAAATAAATAAATAAATAAAAAATAAACCCCACCTCTCAGTGGGGTGTGGACCAACCAGTGCACAAGGGTACCAGGTGCCCAGCATGGACAATAATGTCTGCCCTCAAAGCAATTCATCCAACAATCTTGTCAGGTCACCCCAAGGCCGAGCAGCAGCTATAGATGGAAAGCTGAATCCTAAAATGTGCATGGCTGACCATCCCGGGAGAGGAAGCTGCACACATGGTGTCCTGCTCGTCACCTGCATACCTTCGATCTCAGGGTATTTCATGAGAATCAGGAGCCCATATCTCAGAGTGGTGCTGGTGGTCTCTGTTCCCGCAAAGAACAGGTCAGCCAAGGTCACCGTGATACCGTCCGATGTGTACAAGGGCTCAGTGCTGTGCTTTTCCTGGGAAGTCAGACACAGACAGGGCCTCGATAAGAGGAAGCCTCCGGCAGACAGGAAAGGGCTACATGTCTCCCTACAGCGAAAAGAGAACCCGGTCACCTCTCAGAGCCACAGGAACACAGAAGAGACAGTGTCTCTCCCAGTGGAGCCGGGACTTGGAGCTGTGTGGGATGTGGTTACATCCACCTTCCAGACGGAGAAACTGAGGTTCCCAGAAAAGCCACCGAGGGCCGGATGGGTGGGGCTGCTCCCCCAGGCCTTGCAGCTCTGTCTCTCTCAGCGGCACAAAGGCCATCCTGGAGGAGGCTGTGATGCTCCCTGATCTGAGTCACATCTCAGGGCTGAGCTGAGAGGTCTGCTGACCCTTCCTGATCCATGGTCTAGTGTGGGCTGGGCCTGGAAGGGACAGTGGGAGGTTGAACTGACGGTGGGAATTCTCAGATAACCTCTTGTCCAAGGGAAGTCAGTGTGGCATTCACACACTGACACTCACACACTGAAAGGAAAAGACAAGGACACAAAGGCTTCATTCATCTGGGCCTGGAGCGGGGATCCCGAGGGGCTGCAGGTCGATGAAACTGGGACCCCTGGACATTGTGCACAACTGGGGAACACATGCCTATCAGGAAGGCTCACGAAAGGCTATTTGCAAAGTCAGTGGAGGAAGGGGCCTGGGGAAAGTTGAGGACCACCCACCCAGGCTTGGTGGACTAGCGGGTTGACCATGTCTCCCCCGCAGTAGAGTGCAACAGTCATGCCAAAGTGTGTGTGTGTGTGTGTGTGTGTGTGTGTGTGTGTGTGTGTGCGCGCGCGCGCGCGCGTTTGTACACGTGTGTGAAACTAAGAGCAGCACAATGTAGCTGCTACAGGCAGTATAAAAACCAGCAAGTGCAGATTATAACAGAAATCTGAAAAGGCACGGGCCTACCCACCCCAGCAAGCCTGTCTCACATAGAGGCCTTGATACCTTCTCCATCTCCACAAGCAGGCTGTCGGTGAGGTCCTGGGGGCAGCCGGGGTCCAGCAACTGGTGGTGCTCCTTCACTATTTCCGCGACATAGTCTTTTATTTCAGACACATTTTTCATTACTTTTCTATGGCTTCCAGGCAGGTAGTATAGATAGCTCGGAAAATTATTGTAAAACTAGAGAGAGAAAGAGAAAAACACATTTTCCTACTTTTTTTTCTGGATGCAGCATGATTGTGTGTGCTGGGCTGACAACTTTCCCCAAACTTGAATTTGTGGCTGTCATTACTGTATTATTGGGGTCACCATTGTATGACTCTGGGTCCACAGTGTCTTTCTTGAGTACCACCTTCCTGGACAGTGTACCCATTCTGTGGTGCAAATGCACAAGGATGGCTTAATCCTGAGGTTAAGAAAGGGGGATATACAGGGCGATTTGGGCTGTCGAGTCAAACACCCCCTGAAATGCTCCACTCTCTGGCTTTTGCAGGCCTATCTATTCCATGTGGCCTGGATTTTCCTTCTCCTTCTTCTAATGTGAACTCCACAGTTGAGGATTCATGAAAACAAAAAACGGCCTTACCTGGAGCCAGGGGGTACTGAGCAGATAGAAGTTCTCATTAAACAAACTCATCAGCCTCAGACACTTCTTATCATTGTAGTTAAAATGCTTGCGGAAGAGGATGTCAGCTATGACGTTGCAGGGTGCACAACCAATGACAAAGGTGGGGTCGAAGGGCTGGCCTGAAAAACAGGTGAGTCAGAACCATCAGTGGGCGGTTGAGAAGGGGCTCTCACCAAGCACTCAGCTTCCTGCTAACACTCACCTGAGAAGACACACTAAAACCGTGGTAACGCCCAAAAGACAGTGAATTCTTGAGCCTACTTGGGTTTCTTTACCTTTTGACATTGCTTAAGATACAACAGTCAGCCGGTCTCGGTGGCTCAGCCTGTAATCCCGTGCCTTTGGAAGGCTGAGGTGAGTGGATTGCCTGAGCCCGCGGGTTCGAGATCTGCCCGGGCAGGCGAGACCTCATCTCTACAATAAATCAAAAGATCAGCCGGGCGTGGTAGCGCGCCTGTAATTCCGGCTACTCCGAAGGCTGAGGCGGAAGGATCGCCGGAGCCCAGCAGGTTGAGGCTGCGGTGGCCGGGAGCGGCCACTGCACTCCAGTCTGGGCGACAGTGAAATTCCAACTCAAAAAAAAAAAGATACAACTGTCATGCACTCGACGGCTACTCTTGTCCCCCCCTTCCCCTCCCCCGCGAAATGTGCCGCTGAAAACTCAAGCTGTGAAATGCAGCTCTGGTCTAACACCACCCTCTTCGTGTCTGTGGGTCCCTGTAGCTGCCAACTGCTTCTGGGTTGTTCAGATGTCGTCTCAAGTTGGCCAGCGCCCCCCCTCCCCCGGCTGCAGGAGGACGGGGTCCTGCCAGGTGGTGGGTACGCACCCTGGGTCTTCCGGAGCGCCTCCAGCAGGTAGGGGGCCTCCCTCTGGATCCGCTCTTCATTGCCCCGCTTCCCCATCCCGTAGTCTCGGAGGTTGGTCAGGGAAAACCGCCGAACGTCCTTCCAGGTGGGTCCGTTATTGAAAATAATTCCTAAGGAAGAAAGACCCGCAGAGGGTTACTCCAAGCACCTAGTTTGGGGACAAACAGGGCTGGGGTGGGAAGCAGCCCTGACAGGCCTTGTGGTGCTGGGCGGGACTCCCCGGTGTGCAAGGAAGTCGTAGGGCAGAGAGCATGGGAGCCAGCACTGGCTGCTGGTAGGGTTTTGGGGAGAAGCCTTTCTCAGGGTCCTTGCAGTCTGTGCTGTGCTTTTTCCATCCCATTTAACCTTTCCGGGTGCTTTCTTCTCCACGCTGTCAATTCACCTTCTCTTTTCTATTTTCTGCCGAGTGTTTTCCATGTTAAATAAAACCACATGTGGACACTCATGGATTTTTAACTCTCATGTTACAAACTCCACAACTAGCAGCTTTCTGGCTTCACAGCAATTTTCTTTTTAAATTTTTTATTTTATTTTTTATTTTTGAGTTGGAGTCTCCCTCTGTCACCCAGGTGGGAGTGCAGTGGCACGATCATGGCTCACTGCAGCCTTGACCTCCTGGGCTCAGGAGATGCTCTCACCTCAACCTCCTGTGTAGCTGGGACTTGGCTAATTTTTTGTAGAGATGCGTTCTCGCTACGTTGCCCAGGCTGGTCTCAAACTCCTAAGCTCAAGCAATCCTTCCCCCAGGCCTCCCAGAGTGCTGAGATTACAGGTGTGAGTCGCCACGCCCAGCCTGCTATAAGTTTTTAAATGGAATCTCACTGGTCACACAACTCCCTAACGGTGCGGGCCCCATCAAAGTTGGGCAAACTGAGCATTTTTCCCTTCTAGGTGCTTCTGAGCTGTCCAAGTCTGGCTCGGCCCTGTCTCTGCCCCCGGGGTTTTGCCTCTGGATCCTCCTGGGAGCACGAACACATCTGGAATCAGCAAACCTAAACCAAGTCTTATACTCTTTAAAAACGTTCGTGTATTTCCACCCTTCCTCAGTTCACGATGAGGCTGTTCCACTTGCCCCCCAGACGGGTGTCTCTGAGTCATCCCTGCCTGGTTCGTTGGCTCCTCCCCGTCACTCTCAGCCCTGTCTCCCTCTCAACCACCATCACTGTTCGACACACATTTTGGGCACCTCCTGGGTGTAAGACACCCTACCAGGCTCCGAGCTTCGACAGACAAGGGGAAACAGTTGTGTCCTAGAGCCTCACAGCCCCTCCCACAGGAACTGCCGAGTCACTCGTGGGAGGCACCCGTGGAACACTGAGAAAGCACCCAAGGGACACGTGATTACATGTTCCAGAAAGAAGGCTGACTGGCAAAGGGGCGGGGTCGGATGAGTGAGGTGGGGGGCGTGGATGCAGGTCGGACTGAGGGTTTGGATTTCATCCTGAAAAGTTGGGAGGAAGGACCAATGCCCTAGAAGGCAAGCAGGGCAGAGGAGCAGACATGACCGCATGAGCATGGGCGGGGTCATGTTGAGTGGAAGTGACCCATTTAGGGGGCCGTTCACCAGGTTAAAAATCTGGGTGGAGAAATAGTTTTCTCAGTTTCATGGTTTTCTGAAACTATGTGGACCATCCCCTTAGCACCTAATCACAAAGCTTGTGCCCAATGTTATCCTAATAACAAGCATTCACATCATTATCCTGGAGGACCAGATGCATCCTGGGTCCAGGGTCTGGCTGATTTTCAGTGTCTGTCTGGGCCTTGTGGGTTATATAAAAATAAGACTTTGGAGCCCCCCCTTTAGCCCAATCTGTGGAGATGTGAATTCTGGCCCCTGCCTGGCTTGCTTCAGGGCTGTGCCTTGGACTCATGGGTGGCAGCTACGGGCTTCCCTGAGCCAGAATTGAGCTCCTTGACCACAGGACCCTTGGTCCGGGAGAATCCTCCTCCTTGTGTTAACGACAAGGACTGAGGTGGTTAATTTCACTCTGGCAACCCCAAAGAATTAAAAACAAACCCACAATGTAGAAGAGGGAAAATCCAATGTCACTGGTTGTTATACATTATGACCTCAGAAATGTAGACAGGAAAACCACACACAGCCGCGAATCACCAGCGTGAAAATTCCACATAACATGGGTAAAGGTTTTCCAGGATCCACCACCAGAGTTGACTCAGGAAGAACTAGGGCTTCCACATGGGACACCGTGTTTCTTTCTTTCTAATCTGCTTTAACCCGCCCCCCGGAAGTGACAGAGAGGCAGGAGGAAAAGCTCACCTGGCAAGGTCTGAGAACAGGAGGAGGCAGGGGCAGCCCCACTGAGCTGGGTCTGAGTCAGGAGACTGGGAAAACGCTCAGGGGAGGACCACCAGATCTCAGCCCCCAGCCCTCTTCCCTGAGGGAGGGAACAGGCTCTTTTCTGGAAGGCCGAACTCAGAGACAGACAGGAGGTGTGGAGGAGGGACAGTAGTGGGGCCGGAGGGGACCAAGGGTCTCGTCTTCACCCTTGCGGCTCTTAGAGCATCTGCCCCCGGGGGCCGTCGGGCTCCCTCTCTGGAGACCACCCGCTGCAGCCGAGGAAAGCTCCGAAGCCCGCCCACGAGCGCCGGGGGCCGGTTTTGCTGCCCCATCGCGGGTGAGGGACCTTGGTGGCTGAAGCCCCGAGGCGGCGAGGGTGGGCGGGAAGACCCTCGAGGAGACTGCGACCCCGGGAGGCTGGCAGTGGGGGCTGAAGTCACGCTCAGAAGCAGCCCCTCTGCCTGTCTCTCTACAGACCACACGCGTCTGTCCCGCTGGTCAGAGCGTGGGCCCCGCCCGCCCTCTTCGGTCTTCTTCGGACGTTGTCACTATTGCCGTTGAGGCCTGGCCAGTGCCTCCATGACCCGCCCCCGCCGCCGTCCTGGGGGCGTTGCGCCCGGCCCGATCCTCGCCGGGGACGCGGACTCACCCCTGTCCTTGTGCGCGTGGAACACGGCGATCTCGCCGCGGCCGGAGAAGTCGTTCCTGCGGTCCAGCAGCGCTTCGCGCACCGCCTCGTAGCCGTGCAGCACCACGGTGCGCCGCGAGCCCAGGTACAGCGTGAACACCGGCCCAAAGCGCTCGGCCAGCTGCCAGCGGGAGGCGCAGAGTGAGGCCGCGACTGGGCACGGGGGCGGCAGTGCCTACGCCGCGCCCCCAGCCTGCTCGCGGCCGCTGTTGACGGGGGAAAATGCCGTCTCTGTCCCCACGGGAGGCGGCGGCGTCTGCTGCACGCGCAAGGGCGCACCGCGGCGCTCCAGCACCGCGCTCCTGCCGCTGGACAGGGTCGACTCGGGGACTTTGCGCCGCCCAGCCCTCCCCCAAGGCCGCCCTGGCAACACCCGTGCCCCCCATCACCCCATAATCAAGCCTGGCTTCTCGACCCTAGGCTCGGGTCCTGGGGCGCTGCAGGCTGACCGGGAGCCAGCACCCAGCCCGCCCACGCGGTGCACTGCGCACGTCGGTCACACGGGCTCACGCGTGCTTTTTATCAGTTCATTTAATGTCTAGGCTTGTTCGCCCATTCGGCGTTCTCAATAGCCGTAGCGGGCGGCATCGGCACACACAAAATGGCCCACACTGCGTTTTTCAGCCTCTGTCTTGGCAAACAGGCTGACAACAGCAGGCGGGCATCTGGTTGCCAAGCCATCCCGGCTTCCCCACGGGAGAAGCCACACCGGCTGTCCTGGCCTCCCGGTGACCACAACAAGACGCAGGCTGGGCCTTCCAAGGCCTGCCTGACTGGGGCCCATGCTGAAGGCTTCGGGCCCAAGCGGTACCGCTGGCGATGTATTTTGAGTGTCACTCCAGGTCGCTACTGTGAATTCAGTAAATTCATAGCAGGCTGGCATTGAATAGCAATTTGTCGTAGTGAGTTGAAGACACACATATTAGCTCTAATTTCTAAATTATTCTCCCTAAAATCAACAATAGTTTTCTTACCCGGGTGAAGGATTTGGGAATATTCTTCAAGTCCAACTGGTAAATATTCCCAATGATGGGAAGTGGGAAGGGTCCTGGGGGCAGGTTCCAGCTGCTGTGGACCTGCTTCCAGATGGACACCAGCAGGAGGATAGCCACCCACGCCAGCAGGGCCACGGTGATGCCAAGGGCAGCCATGGTGACCCTCGGGTCAACTGGGGAGGACGATTCTGTGGAAATGCAGAGCTTTTATAACACATCCTTGAGAAGGAGGGTGGCCCATCAACCAATGCCGCCTTCCTTCTGCTCTGGGCCAAGTTACTAGTTTATTATTAGCTACTGTTGGCCATCATTTCAAAGCTGAGTTCTGTGGCAGCTGCCTCTAGAAGTAGCATCCAGTGACCCCACCAGGATGGAGCTGGGCTCTGTCAAAACTCCTGTTACTCCCATCTCTCACTGTACTGGTAAACACATCCAGGGACATGTCCCCAACCCATAGGTCAGAAAGTGGGGTGGAGAACTGCCCTCCCCCTTTGACACTAGTTGGATAAGGTGATGCTCAGGTCATATTCTGTGAATTTGTTTGGGGTAGCATTTATGTAAGGCAACACCTATCACCTCTGGTGGGGTGGGGGAATGCACTCTTCTGGGGCCAAGATCTCTTAAGAGCTGATGAGGTTTGCCTGAGTGGCCTCCGATAGTACTTGAAAGACTCCCTGCCACATTTATGTGGCCAGAAGGAAAATTCAACATGTAAATTCCATCCCACTTTCTCAGATTAACAGGCAAACCAAGTGACAGAAAAAAGGTAAAGAAAGAGTTGGCCAATTTTGAGAAAGTTAATCTCTGATTATAAAAATGTATATGTTTTTGTAGAAAATTAAGGGGAAATTATTTTTTAGATTACTCTATATTCAAATTCTTTTTTGAGTCGGAGTCTCACTCTGTCACCCAGGTTGGAGTGCAGTGGCAAGTTCATGGCCACCGCAGCCTCAACCTGCTGAACTCAAGTGATCCTTCTGCCTCAGCATTCCAAGTAGCTGGAACTACAGGAGTATGACACCACGCCCGGCTCCTTCTTTTAATCTATTGTGAGATGAGGTCTTGTCAAGTTGCCCAGGCTGGTCTTGAACTCGTGGGCTCAGGCAATCCTCTCACCTTGGCCTCCCAAAGTGCTGGGATTATAGGCATGAGCCACTGTGCCCGGCCTCTAAATTCAAATTGTAAAAAGAAATTACCTTGTTGAAAATTTTTTTTTTTTTTGAGTTGGAGTCTCACTCTGTCACCCAAACTGGAGTGCAGTGGCCGCTCCCGGCCACCGCAACCTCGACCTGCTGGTCTCTGGCGATCCCTCTGCTTCAGCCTTCCAAGTAGCTGGAACTACCCAGCTAATTATTTATTTATTTATTTATTGTGGAGATGAGGTCTCGCCAAGTTGCCCAGGTGGGTCTCGAACCCGCAGGCTCAGGCAATCCACTCACCTCAGCCTCCCAAAGTGCGGATTACAGGCTGAGCCACCGAGCCTGATGAATTTGTTTTAAATTGAGTTAAATCTGGAAGATTATTTTCTAAATATCTTGTTTTGTTTCTCCGGGACACAGTAGAGCGCCACACTTATAGCCTCTCTGAGGCGTATTAATTATTTTCTCCATGCAGACCCATGTCCACCTTCTATTAGGGTTGTTCATAGGTATTTTGTGGAGTTTGCTTTTGTGGTTGGAATAAAGAGAATGTGTTTCATTCTGCTTCTGTCCTCAACTAGTAATATATAAAAGTTCTTAATTTATAGTTTGCAATGTTGTACTTTTATGTGTCATGCATTTTTACATATGAGAAAATATTATGAAAAATGAGAAAAATAGAAATTATTTACAATCCAACCAAATCACTTGTGGATTTTGAGTTGTGCCTTTCTTCGACGTATAAAAGTGAGGCTATACACTACAGACTACATTCTAAGCCAGTCTCTCTCTCTAAACAATTTATTAGCAACATGGGTAAGTCATTGTTGTTTTGTGCTTAAAACTGCAGCTCTCCTGAACCATAAGGGGATGTTTGCTTCTAGAAGGAGCTTCAGGGACCTTTGCTCCCCTCTGATCTTTTTACCCCTTGAGGTGAGAACTGACAATGTAGGAACACTGGCTTATGAGTGGGGTCAGCATGCCCATTCTTCCTTTCCTTCCTTTCCAGTGGCCAGTGTGGAGCAGTAGGGCCAACTTCCTGGGTGGAGATTGACATGTCCAGACCCCTGCATCCTGTTCTCCTGAACTGGGCCCAGCCAGGCCTGCCTAGGGAACACACCCAGTTTCCTTGCTTGCTGGTCCCTCCTCCTAGTGCTGGAGACAGGCAGAGCCAGCTTCCTGCAGGCTGTAAAGGAGGTTTTGTAAAGGGGGCATGGAGGTGGGGGTGAGATCAGGAAGTATCAGGGTGGAAAGGCAGAGCAGGTCTTGGGTTCCCATTGGCTGAGAAAGGCCATTCCTGCACTGCTGACCTGAGGGTGCACACCCCAACCAAGGGATCCCACATGCCCTGGAGAGTCTGCTCCCCAGAGGGATGCAGCTGGGGTTGGGACCCTCTGGCCATAACACTGCTGGACATCCAACCAACACCAAATTCTAAATACGGGAATCCATGTCTTTTGAAAATGATGGCATTTCTGTGTCCATCTTTTCAGAAGCAAGGGCTTTTGTTTTGCATCTATTCCATTGACTGGACATTCTAGGACAGGGATAGATAACTGATAACCAGGATGATAGAGTTTCTGCACTTTTCTGCCTGGCAGCAAGTGGTGCTTCTTCAGCTTTGGGTCACCTGCTTTTGGCTGAGTGTGGCGGAAAAGTATTTGTATTGGTGCAATTTTCTTCTTTCTCTAGTTAACTAACTGTTTAGAAGGAATGAGAGTTAGCTGGGCATGTAGTGTGCACCTGTAGTTTCAGCTACTCGGAAGGCTGAGGCGGAAGGATCGCCCAGCAGGTCAAGGCTGGGGTGGCTGTGAGTGTGCCACTGCACTCCAGCCTGGGCAACAGAGTGAGGCTTCAACTAAAAAAAAAAATAGTTGAGAGTGGGGCCCTTTTATAAAGGATTACTGCCTTTTTAATAAAAGAGGCCCCAAAAGGCTGCCTCGCCCCTTCTACCAGGTGAGGACACAGTGAGAAGGGGAACCAGGAAGAAGACCCTCCCCAGTTATCAAATCTGCTGGGGGTTTGATCTTGGACTTCCAGCTTCCAGAAGTGGGAGCAATAAATATCTGTTCTTTTGTTTTGTTTTGTTTTTTAGCCACATGTGTATGGTGTTTTGTTACAGCAACCCAAAAGGCCTAAGACAGGGATCCACTTCAAAAGGTTGTGGTTAAAATGAAATGAGTTCCGCTGTGTTAAACACTCAGACCCATGCCCTGCACATAATTAACA